CTGGCTTGCATCCATAGATGCTTCTCAAGCAAATCCCGGGACGTCATTCTCCCCCTGTACTCGGCCTTAGTGAGGCTGCAGCTGGAGCACTGTGTCCAGTTTTGGGCTCCACAATTCAAAAAGGATGTGGAGAAGCTTGAGAGAGTCCAGAGAAGAGCCATGCACATGATCAGAGGTCAAGGAAACAGACCCTACGATGACAGGCTGAGAGCCCTGGGGCTCTTTAGCCTGAAAAAGCGCAGGCTCAGGGGTGATCTGATGGCCACCTACAAGTTTATCAGGGGTGACCACCAGCATCTGGGGGAACGTTTGTTCACCAGAGCGCCCCAAGGGATGACGAGGTCGAATGGTCACAAACTACTTCAAGATCGTTTCAGGCTGGACATAAGGAAGAATTTCTTTACTGTCCGAGCCCCCAAGGTCTGGAACAGCCTGCCACCGGAGGTGGTTCAAGCGCCTTCATTGAACACCTTCAAGATGAAACTGGATGCTTATCTTGCTGGGATCCTATGACCCCAGCTGACTTCCTGCCCTTTGGGCAGGGGGCTGGACTCGATGATCTTCCGAGGTCCCTTCCAGCCCTAATGTCTATGAAATGTTGAGAGCTCCATATGGTGGACAGAGTTGCAGCAGCAGGCCTTTGAGGCAGTCAAGCAGGCTTTATGTAAGGATGTTATACTACACACCCCAGATTTTGCACTGCCCTTTATCCTTCAGGTAGACGCATCAGGACAGGCGCTAGGGGCTGTGCTCTCCCAGAGGATTGAGGGGATGGAAAGACCGATAGCCTACACCAGCAGGAGATTAAACGATCATGAAAGAAGGTACGCTGCAGTAGAAAGAGAGTGTCTAGCTGTGAAATGGCGTGTGGAGTACTTTCGGTACTACCTGTTGGGGTGGGAATTCACAGTTATAACAGATCACGCACCACCAAAATGGCTGAAATCCTCCAAGACAGACAATGCCCATATAACAAGGTGGGCCTTGTCTTTGCAGCCATTTCAGTTTACTGTTGAATATCAACCAGGTAAAGACAATGTTGTGGCTGATTTCCTTTCTTGTTGCCACTCAAGCAAGTCTCTTGAAACACAGTACGCATCAAGAGAGCAGGTGATGGTCACGAAGAAAACCTCCCGTATGAACAAAGAAGAGCGCCTGACAGCATCTTAAGGTGGGGGGGGGGATATGTGAAGGAGTGAGACAGAACGTACAGCATGGAGGGCCGGCAGGGCTGCAGCTGGAAAGGAAGGAAAATACCCACCCAATTTCTGGAGCAGCCTCTTGCTCAGAATTGGCAGAGGGAGGCCGCTCAAAGGTATTTCTGGCCCCAGAGAGGGGCAAAGGGGGGTCAGTTCCCTGCAGGCTGCAGGGAGAGAGGAGCAGCTGAGCGTCCTGGTGGGCAAAAACTGCAGAACAGGCCTGAAGAATGCTGCGGGAGTGACCCGGAGCTAGGCAGAGGCCTGTGAACGAGCAGCTGGTGGGAATCTCTGGAGCAGAGCTGCAGCTGAGGATCCGGAGCGAGGGAGCCCACAAGGCCAGTGAGCATCTCTGGACTGAGTTGTTCCAACAGAGGATCCGGAGGAAGGTCCAAAGAGAAAAAATCTACAGTCACAGGTAGAGCCTTCCTGCACAGGGGGGAGACCCCGAAAGACTGTGAACATTCATAGGGGTGCAGGGCAGGCTAGCACAGCAGAGAATGGACTAAGGGATTGTTTTGGGGACATTGCCAGAGCCTGACAAGAAGGCTGAGAAGCATCCAGCGTTTTTTCTATGATTTTTTTTTGCTGTCTATTTTTTATTTTGTTTGAGCACAGGCCAAGACTGGCCTCTGGAAGGTTGTACCTGCAAGAGGCACTAGGACTCCTGAGGTGCAGAGAAGGTTACAACAGGCAGCACTGCAACCTGGCTGCAGAAGAACATCGTAAAACACCATCTGGAGAGGTTAGACTGGGGTAAAGGGGAGGTTTGGAGCCCCACAGAAGATACAGGGATCAATATCAGGTAGGATCAATGTGGGCATTGCCTCCTGGGAATATATAGGTCATCAAAGTTGTAGCAGGCGAGATAAACAGACTTGGTGATCCAGAGCCAAGGTCTACCCTGTCGCCATCTGTAGGCAGACGAGCACAGGGCAGTACTAGCAAGCCCTATAATACCTACAGACATCACAAGCATATTTAAAACACAGCCTGTTCTTAAACAGGCATGCATAGCTAGTTTCTTTATGACACTCTATTTATACTGACATCTAAAAGCTACAGGCAGTTTCGATAGCTTCCAAAATTCCTTGCTCTGGCCAGGTAAATGTTCAATGTTCTCATGGAGTCTAGTTGCCATCAGGGAAAAGTGAATTTTCAAGAAGTACACTGGGAGCTTAATGGTCAGGAAATGAGACCCAGGTGTCACCGAACTCACTAGACTGGCTTGCTGCTGATATAGCTGCAGTCAGAAAATAAGCAAAATATGATGATGCAAAAAGGATGGGATGAAAAATAATATTATATAGACAAGTGGTATACCCTTTTCAGAGTTCTGTTCTCAGGCTTGGTTATCCTAGCACAAAAGAAGGTACACAGGCATTAGGGCAGTTCGATGTTAAGAAAGACTGCAAAAATAAGATTACTCAGTTGGAGAGAGGCTGAGTAAGAGGGGACATGACAGAGAGATGCAAAGCAATGAGTGATGTAGATAAGGTATTCTGGGCACTGATTTTTAATATTTTCTTACGTTTTGGGAACAAGAGGGCGCACAGAATGAAATGAAAACAGCAATATTTAAAACCAGTAAAAAGGCCATTTTTTTTTACAATACATATAATTATGCTGGGGAAAGCACCTCTAAAAGATATAACTGAGGGCAAGAACTTAGCAGAATTAAAAAAAAAAAAGGTTGGACATTCACAAGGGCAATTCAGATCACTCACAGTTACATAGGAAAAAATATAGAAAACAACATTGGAAGCCAAGACACTATTAGAGGAGTCAGTTATTACTTAAAAGACATTTGCAAAATTACGACTGACACAACCAGTATATGTCGATTAAAGACAGTAATTGAACCACAGATGCATTCTGTGGTTTCGACAACATAACATGCACCAAAAAGTTCCTAGGAAGTTCAACAATGTTAAGGTATGTAAGACAGCTTTTCTTAGTGAAATCTAATTACTTGCAAGCGATGAGATTTTTTTTGTTCTAGTATGCAATAGCATGTCATATTATATTGAGGTCAATCAGCCTTTGCTGTAACACATTTAGATACAAACAGACAAAAGGAAAGAAAATAGAAAAGATGGAGCTACAATTCACTGTCATTTATTTCCTAAAAATGCCAGCAATGAAATGCCAACCCCTTTGGGATCTCCAAGAAACGTGGCACTAAGTTTACTATCTCACCCTCATTTATGAAAATGTTCTTCTCCTCCCCATCTCTATAGATACTCATTTTATTTCTTAGTCTGTTAGGAAGGGATATATACTATATGTTAGTTTCCTCCTTCCCAGCTCTGACCTTTCTTCATTTCTCTTTCCAGTTTGCTAATTTTCCCACTCTGCTATTATAACTCCCACAGAAGCTGGATTGCAATCCTTGAAACGTTTCCTCTTTGTTATGCCCCACTGATTCCAGACTAAAATTATTCTTTATGTATTTGATAAGAAGAAAAAAAACCCTCTGAGAATTATCTCTCATTTCCAGTGGCGTTCATTTACGGCAGTGGGTTACTATACTGGAATAGGATTGCTAGTCGGATTTTCCTTCCAGCAATGGTGGGATTGTAGTAGCTGTCAGTTCTGCCATGCAGTGCTCTGCCATTGCCAGCTATGATTATATCACTATAAACTTTGTCACAGTTACGCCCTGCTAAAACCTGTTAGCACTCTAGCAGAGCAAGCTTCCTCAGTGTTATGTTCCTTCCCCATGGATCATGATTCTTGCCTACATGGTGAGTGAGGGAGACTGTGTTTTTTTAAATCACATGTCCAAATTATTAATACAGTTATAAGGATGGCACTGTATCAGCAGCAGAAGGTAATGAGACAAAACTACAACATAATCTCTCATTTCAGAGCCAGACAACTACTCTGTGCAGATTTTCCTAAATATTGCAGGGAGGGTAAATCAGCACATGCAGAAGACTCAGTAATGTACCTGGGTAAGGATGCATATTGCCTTTCCATCCCTTCGAAATGGGGATTGTGTGAACTCCCATCTGGACCTTTTCCAGACACCTGTGGAGAGAAGAGTAATTAGAGATGAAGTTCAATTATACACCCCAGTTACTGACAATGCATCTCAAAATGATAATCAGAGTACAAATGATGCGACAGCGTGCCAAAATCAGTGAAAGAAAGGCAAGGGCTCAAAGAATCCACAAATCCCATACTTAATCTTATGATTGCTAACAAGAAGGGGCTCCAAATCAAAGTACTGGTCAGGACAGGTATTGGCTGTCCCAATGGCTCTGAGCCAGTAGGGACACTGCGCACCTTCAGTTTCTTTTGGGTAGTCTCCCTCCTAGGATTCAGTAATATCAGGAGATAAATATAATTAAATACAAAGGTCCCTCAATTTTGCTGGAGAAAACATATGTGATCCCAGAGAAAGAATGAGGTTATATACCAGCTTCAGGTTTGCTTAACACCTGTTGCTTTTTTTTCGCTTCAGCATAAAATGTGATATAAACAAGCTTTGCATTCATTCATAACACAAATCCAGGAACTTTCCAAAATGCTGTTGTAAAGCTAAATGTCCAACTGGGACTTAAGTGCATTTATCATGCTCTAGTGCAGTTTCAGAGGTAAAGCATTAGTGCACTCAGTCAAAATGCCAGCTCTCTCTACTTGGTTTGTTTTCAAGATGGCAACCATAGCTGGCTGGAATATGAAATCCTAATAAGAAGGCTCCAACTGCAGTACAAAATGCTGAACTTAGATGCTTTTAGCTAACAGGAGTTCTCCCACTTTCACTTGCTCAATGCTCGCTGATGGCCCAAGTGTTAAGAGCCTTGTTAAAATGGAGCTATTAGCCTTTTCCTCCATAAATGCAGGAGGCTTACTGTCTGCATTCAGTGTTTCATACATTAATACGTATTTCTATTCTGGCACTGCTAGAATCAGCAGTTTTATAAAGTAATACACTAAGAGGCCATTTAAAACCCCCTTCCCCCTTCACAGATTAATGGCAGAGGGGAAGATTTAATGCCTTTTCAAACATTTTTAACAATTCATTAAAAAGAAAAGAATAAATCACACGAGGCTTTCTGCAAATGTCTGATTATAAAAAGAGGAAACAGAAATGAAAATTAACATGTTTTTCACGTTCTACAGGTTAGAGTACACTTCTGTCAATCTTGTAATTTATGCACAATACGTCAGTTTCACTGAAGAGATTTAAAAACTGCTCTGATGGAAATGTTGTGTAAGTTGTAATAAGACTTATTCACCTGTATATAATGTTTTTTATGTACAATATCTCTTAGATCCTTTACAAAAGCCACGTACAATGCAAACATATATACAATTTAAGTTACTAGATAAGAGTTTTAGGAATTATTTTAGATGAGCAGTGTTATGCTGAGACCGCACCCTAGTACTCCAAGGCAATGTTAGTAATAAGCCAGCCTACCATTAAGTGAAAAACCTATTTACAATGGACCTTTGGCTAAATGCTTTCAATTTGAATCAAAATTGTGAGGAGTCCTTAAGGAGTTGGTAGGTTCCAAAAAATAATCATCTCTGATTTGAAATGACCCCAGCTGTAACAGTGCCTTACTCAGGGCTAGAGAAAAAAATCACTGGCCTAGATTCCAAAAAGAGGGCAGTAGACTAAATTGGTTTAGATCATTTGGTTCCTTTTACCACCAGTAAAAGTAAGGTGTGTTTTATACAGAGAGTGCAAAGACTCAGCCATTTAGGCTTTTCTCATGCTTCTAATTTGAACAGTTTGGTAATTTTCCTTAAATAACTGGCCATTCTGGTGACAAACAAGCCTTGACCTTCTTGTTGTTTTTGAGGAAAAACAAAGGAAATCAAAGAATTTTAAAGTTTAACTTACTGAGCACAAAAATCATACAAAATGCCATCTACCTGCATGATACTGAATGGGCAATTAGCTATGTAAAGTGACAAGATATTTATTGGATTAATGATTCTAAAGCAGAATGCAAGTACAACTTGATGATTTTTAAGCTTGCTAAGTGAGACAATACTCAGTTAATGTACAAGTGAGTTAACGTACAACACGAAATGACTAAGAATATACAGGGTGTTTACCAAGAAAAACATATGCAGTCATCAGTAAGTAAAAAGTACTCACATTATGTGTGACAACCTGAAAACATCAATTTTCTGATTGTTACTTGCAGAGAAAATAAAATCAGGTGCCTCCTGCCAATTCTGTTTGTCTATGTGCTGTGAGATAGTTACCATAGAAACTACAATTCTGGATACAATTTTACAAATTTGGCTCCACATAGCTGATAAGTCTCTGCACCCTGTGAAAACTGTCCAATAAGCTCAAAGAGCAAACTCTGGCTCTGTGTCTTTAATTAAAGACAGCCACCCCTTCTCATTTCCTTTCTCCATCTGTCTGCACAGCAGTAAAGATGTTATAGCACAAAATTAAAAGTAAAACGGTTTCTAAAAGAAGATACTGACCTGATGAAAAGATGAAGGAAAAAAGTTACAGCACTGGAAATATCTGCCTAGTTACATTTTTATTTATGTGCTAGACATGGCATTAGCAATGGACCTATACTCTCTTTACAACTAGCTACACTAATTATTGGCTTCACAGACTGATTATACATGTGTCTGGAGGTGGGGGGAGGGGCATTTTAATTAGAGCAGTTCCTGCACAGCCTCTCTAATTAAAATGGCTCACCATCATGTGTATTAAACCCCTCCATATTTCAAAATGGCCATGGGATGCTTTATCTAAAGCTCATTTGACGAGGTTTAGATAAAACACCCCAGTGGCTATTTTGAAATGCATGGGGACTTAATACATGCGAGAGTGAGGCGAGGCTGGAGCATTTTAATTAGAATGTGAACGCGCATGTCTATAGGCACCCTATGATACTAACTTAAAAGATTAAGAACGCCCCTCAAGGCATTCTCAGTGCACAGTAAGTTTTTGCAGGCCTACATATTATTTTCATTAGTAAACAACAACGTACTGTTCAAAGTATGCATTATTAGGGCCAAGATAACACTTCAGCTGAGTTGCAGGTAAGCAATGAGGTACTTATATTTGTGGAGATGCAAAATAGTTTAGGTTAGTGACAGCCAACCTTTTTTGGCAGGTGGGCCACACATTAGTCCTCACTCTTCCCAGGTACTACTCTGATCTCTCTTTTCCCTGCTTGATCTACTGCTCTTCTTTCTGCTACCTGCCCTGTTGCCACTGTGCTGCCTGCCCCCTCCCCAGTCTGCTGTGTGGCACATGCAGAGGCTGCCCATGCCACTTGTGACATCTGTGCTGCAGATTGGTCACCACTGGTTTTGGATATCCTACACTGGAGAGGACAGTGCAGGACTTTTGAGGAATTTAACTCAGGAAAGTAAACAGAGATCATGCTGGTAGATGAAATTCACAGTTGATTAAAGTATGGTAAAGCACAGTGGAGAGAATGATCTTAAACACTCATAATGAGTTTCAAATCAGCTATATCACCTTTGAAAAAAGGACCAAACCATCACTGTGGATAGCTCCCTGAAGACCCCTTCTGAATATAGAGAAGCAATCAAAAGTAGCAAGAAAAATATTAGCTTGTGAAAGGAATGGGATAAAGAATAATACAGAAACTGTAATAATGCCATTACGCAAATCAATGGGGTGTCCATAACTAGAGCACTGTACTCATGTCCACTTCTATCTGAAGGAGAGTATTGTAGAAATGGGCACAAAAAGAAAGAAGAAAAGAAAAGAAATGACTGAGAGCAAGTGAAGAGAAACTGAAAAGGTCAAAACTTTTAAGAGAAGAGATGGGCGTTGGAGGGCACCTACACTCTCAGCATACAAGAAGTGGGCACAGCTCAGTGCCACAAAGTCTCACTGAGGCCAAAACTTAGTAAAATTAGAACAAGAACACATTTGGATGTTTGTATGATACTCAGCATCACATTAATAATGACTGTAAAGTGTCTGAAAGTTTAGAAAGGACATAAGCCCTTGTTCTCATATCAGCAGGTTAAACTATATTTCCCCACTTTGAAGTTCTGGGACTTGTTTCTCTGAAGCTTACAGCAACAGCCCAACTGACAGGATATCAGATGAAATAGATTCTCAGTCCAATCCTGTATTGCATCTGCATATAACTGTACATTATTGGCCAGGGTTTCCTATGTGCAACTGGGAGACTTTTTATGTATAAACTAGCGAGTTGCCCATCAAGAATGACGGAGAGGGGGCGGGTGGGGGCTTGCTAACCCTACCCCCCCCACCATATCCCAGGAGTTGGGGGAGGAAAGCTTGCCCCATTATCCCCTCCATCCCCCTCTGCCAGCACCCCGCGCCACCGCTGCCTCTCAGGAGTGGGGAGAAGCTTGCCCTGCCATCCCCTCTATCCCCCTCTGCCAGCACCCCACGCTGCCACCACCTCCAAGGAGTGGGACGGGGGGATGAGGACAAGGACAGTGGCACTGGCCTCATCCCCCCGCTCTGTCCCCTCCATCCATGCCATCATGGCGGTGCTCCACCACACCGCCGCCACCTCCTATCCGTAATGCTCTTGGAGCACTCTGATTGTTTTTTTTAGTAACCAATGAGTGCTCCAAGAGTGTTATGGATAGACAGACAGATGGACTAAGCCCTTTATTATATTAGAATATAGGGAGTAAAGCATGTAGAGAGAACCAAACCAGAGAACAAATATCTTCTATCAGCAGAGGGTCTGTTTCCAGAATGAAAAGGTACAACTCACCCTACACCAGTGAAGGTGTCATAAATTGACTGTTAATTGGGGTATCTGGAAATTCTTCATAGGATTTACCTACTAACAGAACTGGTACCCCAGAAAAAAATAGCCTGTTGTAAGCATATCTATATAATTAGTATCTTTCTTGCTGTTTAAGCATCATTTTCCTCCACTAATAATTTCCATTAGCAAACAAAGTTTCAGCAATAAAAATAATTCACTTTCAGAAAAGGCTGTGATACTACTACACCCTTTCATCAAAATAATGCCAATTTAGGGGAGGAAGCAATGAAATAAAAAAGATGGAGAGGT